GTCATTTGAGCTGCAAAGTCAGTGATTCAAACTCACCAGCTGCTCCTTGGAAACCCTATGTAGGGTCGCTATGGGTCAGAATCAAGTCGATGGCACTTAACAACAACAACAACTGCAACAATAAACAAGCTGAGTGGCAATACTAATCTCAGATAAAGTAAACTTTAAAACAAAAACCAGCATACGAGATAAGGAATGACACTGTCTCATGATCTAAGGGTCAATTGAGCAAGATGACATAACCATAATAAATATCTATGCTCCCAATGAAAGAGCACGAAGATATATTAAGCAAATCTTAGTAGAATTGAAGAAAGAAATAGATAAATCTACAACTATAATGGGAGATTTTAATATGCCACTTTCAAAATGGGGCAGAACAACCAGAAAGAAACTTGACAAAGTTATAGAGGACCTAAATAGCACAATCCACCAACTTGACCTAATAGATATGTACAGAGCATTCAACCCAACAACAACACAATATACATTCTTCTCCAGTGCACATGGATCATTCTCCAGAATTGACCATGTGTTAGGTCACAAAGCAAGCCTTCATAAATTTACAGACATCAAAATACTACAAAGCATCTTTTCAGACCACAGTGCTATAAAACTAGAAATCAACAATAAGAAGACCAAGGAAATAAAGTTGAATACATGGAAACAGAGTAACACCTTGCTGAAAAGCGACTGGGTAATAGAAGAAATTAAATGTGAATTCACAAAGTTCCTAGAAACAAATGAGAATGAAAATACAACATACCAAAATCTTTGGGACACGGCGAAAGTGGTGCTGAGACAATTTATTGTGATAAATGCACACATCCAAAAAGAAGAAAGAACCAAAATTAACACATTAACACTGCATCTCCAACATTAGAAACAGACCAACAGAGGGAACCTACAGTCACCAAAAGAAAGGTAATAATAAATAAGGGCAGAAATAAATGAGACAGAAAACAGAAAAACTATAGGAAGAATCAACAGGACAAGAAGCTGATTCTTTGAAAGGATTAATAAAATTGAGAAACCATTAGCAAACCTAACAAAAGAAAAGAGGGAGAAGGCACAAATAACTCACATTAGAAACCACATGGACAATATCACAATGGAAGCAAATGAAATTAAAAAATGTTGATCAATCTTCTTTAAATTATGAAATTATTCAGGACCCAAAAAACAAAAACTAACATTTTTCTGTAATCAAATCAAGGAATGCTGGTGGCTTCATTGGTTAAATATTGGTCTGCTGGTGGCATGGTGGGGTAATTCCCTGTATTGCAAAGTTGGTTTGAACTGCAAGGTCAGTGTTTCAAGCTCACAAGCCATTCCTTGAAAACCTTAAACAGGGTTGCTTATGGGTTGGAATTGATTTGATAGCACATAACCACCACCACCACGAATTCAGTGGTTCAAATCTACCAGCTTCTCAGAAAGGGAAAGATGGGGCCATGTGCTCCTGTAAAGAATCTTGAAAGTAGTTTTTCTCTGTCCTACAGGGTCATTAAGGAGCTCTGGTAGCATAGTAGTTATGAATCAGACTGCTAATCTCACCATCAGCAGTTTGAAACTACCAGCAGTTCCGTGGGAGAAACATGATGCTTTCTGCTTCGTAAAGATTTACAGCCTCAGAGCCCTGTACAGGGTCACTATGAGTCAGAATGGACTCCACAGCACATCACAACAACAACAACAGGGTCATTATGAGTCATGTTAATTTTGATTGCAGTGCATTTGGTTTGGAGTGGATTGGCAACTAGTCAAAATACATCAGTCATCTACAAAAGTAGTAAAATTCAACTTACAAAAAGGAGTAAACAAATCAAACAAAATCAATTAGAAATTAGACACATTCTAGAATTAAATACAAACCTGAATTTCCATATGTTTATAAGGTAAAGAAGATACATGAAAGATACGGAAAGGACTGAAATAAAAAATTTACTATGTGAGATGATTGATACAATAATGATAAATTAATAGCAGAAGACACATTGCAGAAGAGATAAGTTGATGTGAATTCAGTAAAGAGAAACCATCCAAAAGAAGACACTGGG